ATTGGGTATGTGTGAGAACACTCTCCAAAGAAATTAGCCCCGGAACATCCTGACCAGATACGAGGATGTTTTGCTTAAGACACCTGGAGCATGATACAAATGGAGGTAACAAACAGATGTCATGAAAGACATGAGGTGGTATGTAAATAGTTTTTCTTAGTATATACATTTTGAACTTTCTTGCCTTATCCATTTGTGTAGCCAAGGGGACAACAGAAATTCCCGCTGCTGACTGAACCTGGGCACTTATGTTGTAGTGTCACAGCTCAGTAGTTACAGGTTTGCTCATACTGTGCCTTAAGGGCAATAAACCTGGCTGATTGCCTTTGTCACTAAATCATGCCAGTGGTCGTTCTTTATGAAAAGTATTGAGATTTTTTTTAAAAAGCTGCATCCTAGGCTTGTGTTGTCCAGAGCAGGGATGTAAATTCCTATTTAATTGTTTAACTAGTTAAATGTATTGTTCTCTCTCCCCTCCTCCCCCCTCCCCATCCACTAAACCAGTAACCTTGTCAAAGAAGGAAATTAGGTAGGTTTGTCATGCTTTGTTCTTGATAAATCCATGCTGGCTATTCCAAATAAGTTCATTATCTTCTAAATTCTTACAAACTTATAATTTATTTATTTTAGTATCTTTCTGGGTATCAGAGTTTAAAATTTTTTAATGTCTGCTTTTTAGGTACGTTGTCCTTATTTTGCTGTTCTCGCTCCTTTCTTTCCTTAGATTTATGACATCTGTCCTTTCATGATCAGTTTCACCCAACTGTCCTTCTATTTTCAGATTCATAACCAATTCCTCCCTGTTGGTGAGAATTAGATTTTTAAATCTGATTTCTGAGAAGTACTATATATATTTAGTCTAATATTTTCCACAATTGAATCTGAAATTAGATTTCTACTGCACCATTTAAACACCTAAATAAATGAATGTATTTTCAAAATGTTGAACATCCTCTAATTTTCAGGAGCAATTAAGTGCTTAAATGTTTTGAAAAATATTAGTTTGAAGTCTAACTAAGTTCCTGCTTTTGAAAATCCTGGCTTAAAAACATAACATGTTTTTCACCACACTGACCTTAGAAATTCACTTGTGCTAATAAATGGGTTGTCACATTTTTTTTTTACATTGAATACGTTCAGATTATTTTAAGAAGTAGACACTTAGTTGTTTCTGTGTTTTGTTTCTGTTTTAGTAAATGTTTATAAGTCTGATTTTTTTTTCCAAGAAGCAGTACAGGTTGAATCTTCCTAGTCTGGCGCACTCTGGTCCGGCAGCATCTGTGGTACAACATGATTTTAGTTGGCTGGATGTCTACTTACCATGGGTGCAGCTAAGTTTCCCATGGTCCCATAAAGTTTGTTTACAGCCACTAGTCCTGGCTCTCAGTGTTCTGTGCTGTTATTTTGCTCTAATTTACCCCTAAATGTCTTCTAAGAGACCCATAAATGGTGGTAGCGTTGGCAACGTTGCTGGACAATATTGACCTTCCGTGATTTGGCAAATTCTCTGGTTCGGCACTGGCCAGGTCCTGATTGTGCCAGACTAGAGAAGTTCAGCCTATATTATTGTTTGATACTTTCAGTTTGTTGTATGTTTAAATTTCTCTGTTTAATGCTAATCATCTCAAGAATTATACAAATTAATATTATAATAGAAGCCAAAGCAAACAGAGAGCATTATAATATAAGTTGTGCTGATGCTGTATTTTAATGTTCATGATAAGAGTTTAAATGGATTTTACTTTCTCGTAGGAGAAATCTAAACTATTTTTCCAACGCTTATGCTGCTGCAGTCAGTGCTGTGGACCCTGATGCTGGAAATGGAGAACTCTGCATTAAAGTTCCTTCGGAGCTATGGAAACATGTTGATGGTAAAGTGTAGAGACCATATTGATACTTAAATTAAGGTACTGCAGATTTGATAGCCAGGGCATTTTGTACTGAAAGACATTAGATTGAAGTGAACATAAATAATATATTCAGTTATGTAGATTTAATTAAAAGAATCCCACTGGCACCTTTTTGGAAAGAATAAAAAGCCCAGATCCACAAAGTTGCAATGCTCAGCTTCACAACACCTAACCAACAGCTGATGCAACAATGCAATTTGCAGAACCTTAGTTAGCTACCTGAGAATGGGATTCATGAAAGCTAGCATGTTAGGCAGGGAACTTCCTAAGCACAGGTTGAAACTTTCTAATCTGGTACTTTCTGGTCCGGCAGCATCCGTCAGGAATGATTTTAGTTAACCGGAGGTCCATGTATCATGGGTGTGGCCAAATTTCCTCTGATCCCATAAAGTTTGTTTACAGTTACCAGTCCAGGATCTCCGTGTTCTGTGCTATTATTTAGCTTTAATTTTCCTTAAATGTCTTCTAAGAGCCCAATAACCAGTGGAATTGTTGGTAATACTGCTAGACAATATTGACCTCCCATGGGCTGGCAAATTCTCTGGTTTGGCATTGTTCAGGTCCCGAGGGTGCCAGACTAGAGAGGTTCAACCTGAAGTGAAAAATGCTGTTCTTTCATGGAGTTAGGCAACTGAATAACGGTTACAGGGGAGATGCTTTAAGTATAACACATGGAGGAGAGGGGAAGTTGATAGTAGTGAATAGCAATAAGTTAGCAATTATAGAAAACTGATAAACAAAAGGACATAAGAAGTCTATGGCCATCAAAGATAAGAACAGCAAAAATAAGTTTTTAAAATATACTAGGTGGCTATGCCCCTTGCTCGCTAGACTCACAACCCCCCTCTCTCTGGGGGTAGGTGTCTGGCAAGGGGGGAGGAGGCAGGAGTAGCCTGGGGGTGCATGTTCTTGGCAGAAGGAGTGAGGGAGCTGGGGGTGTGGGGTGTCCGCTTCAGGAGGGCTGAATGAGGGGGTTGGGGGTGCAGGGTGTTGGCTTGGGGGGTATGAGTGAGCAGGGTAGAGATGTGGAGGTCTCAGCAGAGGGGGCGAGTGAGCAGGGTGGGGTGCATGACATAGTTCCTGCTAAGGTGTGCCCTGTGTGGCCACGCACACAAAATTATTCCCTTGTCCACGTCCTCCGGCAAGCTGCACAGCAGCTCTTGCATGGCAGGCAGCTGCTCTGATGGGTGGGGCTGGCTGAAATGGCATGATGAGGGAGCCAAGACTGCCGGGGCTGTGTGGTGGAGGGGAAGGCCTGCTCTAGTGGCTAGAGCTGCCAGGTGGCAGGGGGGCCCGGGGCCTGTTGTGGCGGCTCAGGCCGGGAATGGGACCTGGCAGGGGGCAGGGTCTGCTTTGGTGGCTGGGAACGGGACATGCTGCATGGCGGGGAGTGGGGAAGCCTTGCTCCAATGGCCAGAAACGTGTGCATGAGTGTTAATAAATTGGGTGCCACGGTGACACACATCCAAACCAGCGCACGTGACCTCAATATTTGTGCACAAGCCAAAACTCACTCTGCTTATGGTTGGAAAATCTTAGAGGAAACACTGGTGCGGGGTCTCAGTGGAGGGGTGAGTGAGCAGGATGAAGGTGTGGGGGTCTCGGCAGAGCGGTGAGTGAGGCAGCTTCCCTCCCCCCCCGCCCCGGCGGTGCAGCCCTTCCCCTCCCCCCCCACCCTGCGGCATAGCCCCCCAGGGCGTGTAGTAGGAGCCCAAGCTGGAGCAGCCCATGCCCAGAGGGGATCTTGCGGAGGCTGGCCATAGCAAGCGGCTGAGGACAGAGGCAGGCAGCAGCAGCATGTGGATGCTGATGATGTGATGACATCATTCTGTTGTCTGGCAGGACATTTTTTTATAGAGAGAGAGATTAGGAACAAAAAGAAACCTGACAATGATATTATCCTTGACTAGATGGAAATGGTTGGATTAGCAATAGTGTGGTAAATGCAGAAGTGTTCAGTACATGTTTTCTCCCCATGTACAGAAGAGAAATATAATATAGTCTCCTCAAATGTTTATAACCCTTTTTGCATTCCACCAGCATCTCTGGAAAATATTAAACAGAAGCAACTAAAGTTGACATTTTAAAATCAGCAGATCCAGATAACTTGCATCTAGGTGTCTTAAAAGAGCTGCAGCTCACTGGTTGTTAATGTTGATTTTCAAAAAATCATGGAGCTCTGTGGAAATTCCAGAAGAGTATAAGAAATCTATTTTTTTGCCAATTTTAAAAAGGGTAAAGGAGATGATCCATGTGATCATAGCTCTGTCAGCCTGACATGCATCCCAAGGAAGACAATGGAGCAGCTGACATAACACTTGATTATTAAAGAACTAACGGAGAATAATGTAATGTCATTAATACAAGTCTACAGATGTTTCTGTAGAGTAGATCCTGTCAGCCTAATTTAATATTTTTATGAGATTGCAAGTTTGGTTAATAAAAATAATAATTTTCATGTAATAGACTTCTGTACAAAACTAGACATATCAAATTAATACGACACACATTAAATGGATTAAAAACTGTCTACCTAATAGATCTCAAAATATAATTTAAATAGGGAATCATCAAATGGGCATGTTTTCAGTAGCGTCTCTCAGGGATCAATTCTTGGCCTTGTGTTATTTAATATTTTTATCACTAACCTGGAAGAAAATATAAAATTATCACTGATAAAATTTGCAGGTGACACACAAATTGAAGGAGTGGTAAATAATGAAGAGGACAGGTCATTGAATCAGAGTGATCTGGATCACTTTGGAAACTGGGCACAAGCAAGCAAAATGCATTTTCATATGGCTAAAAACATATACATCTAGGAACAAAGAATATAGGTCAGGCTTAAAGGATGGTGGATTCTTTCCCGGGAAGCAGTGACTCTGGGAAAGATTTGGGGGATGTGGTGGATAATCAACTAAACGTGAGCATCTATTTTAATGCTCTGGCCAAAAGAGCTGATGTGATCCTATGATGCATAAAGAGGAGAATTTGGAGAGATTATTTTATCTCTGTATTAGGCATTGGTGCAACTCTTTTTGGAATACTGTGCCTATTCCTGGTGCCTGAAGGATATTGATGAATTGGAGACAGTTCAGAGAAAAGCTGTAATAATTACTAAAGGATTAAAAAGCATGCCTTATAGTGATAGACTGAAAGGGTTCAATCTATTTAATTTAAGAAAGAGAAAATTAAGGGGTGACTTGGGGAGCAAATATTTAATAATGAGGTCTTCAGACTAGCAGAAAAAGGCCTAGCATGATCCAGTGGTTGGAAGTTGAAGCTAGACAAATTCAAATGAGAAATAAGGCATACATTGATAATAGTGAGAATAATTACCCATTGGAACAATTTAGCATGAGTTTTGGTAGGTTCTTCTTTAGTGACAAGTTTTGAATCAAGGGACGGATTTTTTTCTAAAAGCTCTGCTCGAGAAATTATTTTGGGGGAAATTCTATAGCTTATGTTATACAAGAGGTCAGAGTAGATGATCACAATGGAATTTAGATGCCTAAGCTGTGTTTGTGTGTTTTTTAACTGAGAATGAATTAAGCACCTGCCTTACTTAATGCAAAATGAGAAGAAGAGATGGTGATTGATGCCCATATTTATAACTTTCCTCCCAGTGGTTAGAAATTTACTTGGCATGTGGAAGGCCCTGGGTTGAATTTTCCTCTGCCTGAGGTGAGAGAGGATTTGAACAAGGTCTCTCACATGACTCAGGAGAGTGTGCTAACCACTGAGCTCTGAGATGTTTTGTTAAAGCTGTTCTGCTTTGGATAAATAATCACCGGAGCAGGGAGACTAGTACCTGGGTCTCCAAACACTCTGGGGGATGCCATAAGCATCAGGCATTAGAATCTTATTCTTTCTCTTTCTACCTCTTATGCAATACTCTGATTATTTATCCAAAAGTGGAAGAGCTTCAACAGGAGTGATTGAGGGAGGAGTACTTGCTCTTGGGTTTAGGCACCCAAGTACTTTGGTGGATCCTGGTCACACATCACTCATGAGAATAACTAGACTACGTATTACTGACAAGAGCTTCTTTAAAAAAAAAAAAAGCTCTTTTGCCCTAAAAGCACAGGCTTTTGGGATAATGTTTTACCTGTCAACATCTGTCTTCTGAAGCTATCCATTTTCACAAGGATAATTGGAAAGGGCATTCTGACTTCTGGCTTCAAGTTTTCCTTGCAGTAGTTAAGAAAATGGGTCAGTTACTCCCCTCTAGTGAGTTCTATTTTAAGTCTGTTAATAAAAGCCAAATATCTTGCATGCTAAAATTATTTTCATAAACTAAATCAAGGAATATGGAAGCCAATTGGCATATTTTGATAACATTATGTGTATTTCCATATCTTCATCTATTTTTCAAGATACATTTTTCTTATGACTGTCACATTGTGGGAGATTTTATTATCATATGTGGGTGGTCTAGTACATATGGTGAAGAAGAAATGTAAATTTATGTGTATACTTGGAATAACTGTGCTGGTACAATTAACTAGTTTCACAAAGAATCAAAAGAGCATCAGTATAACAATTAATATATATTTTCTTGGATATATTTAAATCAGTCTTTCCTAGATTAAGTTTCTGTGATGATAGTGTCTTTTGATACTTGACCCTTATTGTATTTGCTAGTACTTCATTGGGGAGAATTATGTTATACATGGTACCAGTATCAGCTTTTCATTTCATCCTACTGTTTTCAGCCATTTGAGAGCAACTGTGTGTACAATAAATTTCAACAATACCCACATAAACTAAATAGTGCTAGACCCATACCAAACATTTAGTTTATCAGGTTTAGATAATTAATTCCATCCTAGTATTAATAGCTTTACTCTTTATATACATTTATAAAGTGCCTAGCACTATTGTATCTATTACAGAGTTTAGACATTGACATTAAGAGGAACCCCCATTACACAAATTTTTTCTTTCTCTCCTCTTTTCTG